TCGTGCCACTTGTGGAAAGTGGATTTTTTGAAGGGTCATTCACAAATATGACAATTCCGTTGGATTCTGTTACCGTCTATTTCGTCAGTGCTTTTCATTTCAAGTATAATTTCATCCGGGCAAGTCCGTTTAATGTTTTTAAATAATAATGAATTTGTTTTTTTTTAATTGAAAATATATGTAAAAGATTACATTTCAGTGTAAACAAATGATATTGACATCTTTATTAATCTTAAATATTCATAAAAATGTACTTTTGATTTTAAAAAATAAAATCCTCTTCATGTATTTTAAATTAAAAAATAACAACATAACCAAAAAATCTTATTTTTATTCTAAACTAAGAAAAATTAAAAAAACTCCCTACCGAAAGAGTGGTACTGGAATGGTACTGAATTGGACTTGGCTTGAGTTCCACTTCAGTACCACTACCTGATAACCCATAAGAAGACATTTTTAAAGTACTTTAACAATAGTTTTAAAGGTATATAAGATCAACAAACCGTCTCTCACGATATACGTGTAAAACAGCAAAAAAAAACATAATAGTTTGTAGAAAATTTCTGTTAAGTTTGGAAATTATATTGCAATCTTTCCTTGAACAATAGACCCCTAGGTCCTTTGTTGAAGGATTAAAATTTTAACCCGAGTTTTATTGCTTAAAAAATTTGTAATTTTAATAACTCAACTTTAAAAAATATATATTCAGATTCGTTAATATTTCCAGATTATGAATATCTAAAATTTATCATAAAATAATTACATTTAAAAAAGTTATAATTTATCTCTTATACCTTAAGTTTGATAAAAAATGGACATCATTTTTGAATTTAGCTGACAAAGGAAATATCATATGCATAATAATGTATGAAAATAATATAAATCCATGAAAAACAAATATAATATTGAAATAAATATAAAGTTTTAGTTTAAACATATTGAAAAAGCTAGTCGCTTTTCACTTTTATGAGGGTATTAACGGTAACTCGACCCTTTTCGCAGGTAAATTTCCCAGTTCCATTTCAGTACCAAAATGCACCAAATTAGTACTGAGTTGGTACTGAGATCTCAGTTCCAATTTCCCAGTACCAATCCAGTACAACCCTTCCGGTAGGGCTAAGAAAAAACTTCCGCTTAATTCTTAGTGGAATCCGTAGTTTATTAATATGTATATTTACGTTTGGAAGGAGTATTTATGTGTGAACTATAAAAAGTTTGTTCGATGACATTTACTAATATGCTAATATTACTAATATCTTATAAAATTCATTTCTTCTTCTTCACATGAAATTGAAATGAAAAGCACTGACGAAATAGATAGCAACAGGATCCAACGGAATTGTCATATTTGTGAATGACCCTCATAGAGTTATTATAAATAGAGTGGGGAAGGACTGTACCTAAGCGTCCGTTGCATAGAAAGAGAAAGACAACCGAAACCGTATATCTGTCCTCTTCTGCTCACGCATGAGCAAAGACTGTTGATTTCTAAATTCTTTTAAGAATTTCAATAATTTCATTCATGTGATAATGTATTTGTGAGTGAAATGTGATTTAAACATTCATTTGTAAAAATTGAATATGTTAGGCACCTCTTTAAACGCGAAAAAATTAAATTCATTGAAATTGATATGATTTTCATTGATATGATCATGTATGTGACTCAAATGTATATGTGAATTTATGATTCAGAGTTTTATTATTTTTATAACAAGTGAATGAATGCGTTATTTTAAAATATAAAAGATATCCCTACCGAAAGAGTGGTACTGGATTGGTACTGGGAAATTGGAACGGAGATCTCGGTACCAACTCAGTACTAATTTGGTGCATTTTGGTACTGAAATGGAACTGGGAAATTTACCTGCGAAAAGGGTCGAGTTACCGTTAATACCCTCATAAAAGTGAAAAGCGACTAGCTTTTTCAATATGTTTAAACTAAAACTTTATATTTATTTCAATATTATATTTGTTTTTCATGGATTTATATTATTTTCATACATTATTATGCATATGATATTTCTTTTGTCAGCTAAATTCAAAAATGATGTCCATTTTTTATCAAACTTAAGGTATAAGAGATAAATTATAACTTTTTTAAATGTAATTATTTTATGATAAATTTTAGATATTCATAATCTGGAAATATTAACGAATCTGAATATATATTTTTTAAAGTTGAGTTATTAAAATTACAAATTTTTTAAGCAATAAAACTCGGGTTAAAATTTTAATCCTTCAACAAAGGACCGAGGGGTCTATTGTTCAAGGAAAGATTGCAATATAATTTCCAAACTTAACAGAAATTTTCTACAAACTATTATGTTTTTTTTTTGCTGTTTTACACGTATATCGTGAGAGACGGTTTGTTGATCTTATAAGGTTATCCAAGTTGGGTGGAGGAAAACCAAGATGAATGCTTGCTGGTGCACAAACATCCGGTCTATCAGCCAATCGGCATTCATTCCCATGTGAAAGTACCGTGAATTTCACATGGGAGTGAATGCTGATTGGCTGATAGGCCGGATGTTTGTGCACCAGCAAGCATCCATTTTGGCTTTCCCCCACCCAACTTGAATAACCTTATATACCTTTAAAACTATTGTTAAAGTACTTTAAAAATGTCTTCTTATGGGTTATCAGGTAGTGGTACTGAAGTGGAACTCCAGCCAAGTCCAATTCAGTACCATTCCAGTACCACTCTTTCGGTAGGGATATGAAGAGATTTAACGTTAAATTAAAAAAAATTTAAATGGTTGGATTTAAAGTTGAATAAAATATGAATAAAAATACATTTGAAAACCACGTGTTTCAGCCCTACCGGAAGGGTGGTACTGGATTGGTACTGGGAAATTGGAACTGAGATCTCAGTACCAACTCAGTACTAATTTGGTGCATTTTGGTACTGAAATGGAACTGGGAAATTTACCTGCGAAAAGGGTCGAGTTACCGTTAATACCCTCATAAAAGTGAAAAGCGACTAGCTTTTTCAATATGTTTAAACTAAAACTTTATATTTATTTCAATATTATATTTGTTTTTCATGGATTTATATTATTTTCATACATTATTATGCATATGATATTTCCTTTGTCAGCTAAATTCAAAAATGATGTCCATTTTTTTATCAAACTTAAGGTATACGAGATAAATTATAACTTTTTTAAATGTAATTATTTTATGATAAATTTTAGATATTCATAATCTGGAAATATTAACGAATCTGAATATACATTTTTTAAAGTTGAGTTATTAAAATTACAAATTTTTTAAGCAATAAAACTCGGGTTAAAATTTTAATCCTTCAACAAAGGACCTAGGGGTCTATTGTTCAAGGAGGGATTGCAATATAATTTCCAAACTTAACAGAAATTTTCTACAAACTATTATGTTTTTTTTGTTGCTGTTTTACACGTATATCGTGAGAGACGGTTTGTTGATCTTATATACCTTTAAAACTATTGTTAAAGTACTTTAAAAATGTCTTCTTATGGGTTATCAGGTAGTGGTACTGAAGTGGAACTCAAGCCAAGTCCAATTCAGTACCATTCCAGTACCACTCTTTCGGTAGGGAGTCACTCGCCCGCGCTTGCGCAGTGACGCATTTTTAGAGAAGGACAGAACTACGGTTTCGGTTTTCTTTCTCTCTCTTCGGGCGTCTCATCGCCACTTACTGTGGCTCCTATACCTTCCCCACTCTATTTATAATAACTCTATGATGACCCTTCAAAAAATCCACTTTCCACAAGTGGCACGAACTAACGAACTTGCCACAAGTTGGACGGACTTCGTGCCACTTGTGGTACGAAACACCGCCACTTGCGTCCGAGACGCTCGTGAGCCGTACAGGCTTCCGTAGGTAGTGTTTTAAAATTCTCGGTAAAATTGAAACCTGAGAAGGTAAGAAAGAAAATTGCGGTAAATTACCGAAAAAAAGAGAATTTATGAGAATATTCATTTAAGTGATTGATAATTGCCTTTTTTAAATCTAAATATGTATTTTTATAGTATGTAAGTTATAAATAAACGACCGACATGTTATTAAATGAATAATTTGAACAATGAATATAATAGACTGTAAGGGTGCAGTCCCATGGAGCAGATTAGGAGAATAGATTTCAGCCAATCAAAAGTTAGTCTCTCGCGGCAAATTTTGCATTTCCGTTAGAGACTGTTTTTTTATTGGTCAACGTCTAATCTGCTAATCTGCTCCATGGGACTGCACCCTCATTTTCTCTGTGTTCTTACTGACAAGATGACAGTCGGGTATATATGCCTGCACTTTTATCATTGTCTAACACGTGCGTCGTCATGACAACATGTGTGTTAGACAAGGATAAAAGTGCAGGCATATAAATGTACCTGATTCAATATAATAATGTAATATTATATCAATATTAATATATTAATATATATATTATATATTGTAACAAAGATATTTTTCATTATAATAATAATTGTACAGTCAGGAACATATGTCTGTACTTTTATCCTCGTCATACACGTTGTCATGACAACGCACGTGTCAGACAAGGATAAAAGTACAAGTAAAAATTCTCATAAATTCTCAGAGAAAAAACGATCCGGTAATTTACCGGTAAATTACCGTAATCTTCTTTCTCTTCTTGACGTAATTTACTGTCTTTAGAACACTATCCGTAGGTTTCGCCTCGTTACGAGGTGGCGCGTAGAAACTTCCGTAAATAAAAGCACCTTAAAGGCCTTTCTCCAATAGGAACCTAAACTTTTGCGTTGCGTGACTGACGCGTTGATTTTAGCATTGGTTGCCAATAGCAACCGACGCAATGCATACGCAACGCAAGAGTTTAGGATCCTATTGGAGAAAGGCCTTAACGACTCAATCTGATTTCTCCTTTTCTGACGTCAAGATTGTAGACGAACCTTTAAATAGTTTCATATCCCTGCTCTTTCAATTTGTCTAATGAGGACTCGCCTTACGATATCTCTGTGCTCAGGTTGTTAATAAACTTGCCCATGCATGTTGACAGTGGTGGGCAGCAGTTACATTTTGTTCTCGTGATTAATGTGATTAATGCAATTCAACGTTTTTTTTTGAAAAGAGTGTAAATAAAATTTGTCATAAAAAAATAATTAAACATGACAAAAAACGAAGATAAATTCGATGGGATGTTGCTAGCAATGGCTCAACAACATGAAGGTGGTGTTCAGGATGTAAGTGTTGATAATATTACCGGTGTTTTAGGTTAGTTTATAATTTTTTATTACAAAGATAATCTCGTTAATGACATTTATGTAAACCAAAATAAATATTAATAACAATTTTTCATGCAACTTTATCATTTTCATAGTGGATTCAAATTATTGCCAACTGTGGAAAGTGATAAAAGTAACCTAAAATGTTATGTTTATAGCACATGAATATATAGCATGTAATACGAACATTTAGGTTATGTATATATAATAATAATTAATAATATTTTAATTTAACAAATTTCGAACATTTGTTTTGTATATGTACAAAAGTTGTAGACTTTCCTAAATAATTATAGAGACAGGTACTTTATGCTGGAGCATAGATGCAATTAGATATAATCTAAAGTCGGTTAATTAGAACCAAATTTACATAATTTTTTTTAAAAATGTGCAAAAATTTTCAAAATACCTAACATTTGTTAGTTTGGAAAATTTTGAAAAAATATTTTATGGAGTGTTTATCACGACTAAATTAATGAATTCACAGGCCTCGGATTATACGACTTTTTTCGACTTATTTTAATAAGATGAGACTTTTTTGACTTTTTTTACAATCTATTTAATAAAATGAGTCTTTTTTTAGTATACAATGCAGATCTTCTTTATTTCAATTATTTAATAAATGTTTAGCTAAAATTCATCACTAAATTAATTATTTGTAATAATTTTAATGAAATTCTTTACAAATTCAATTATCTTCAACTCTGTCGAATTAAAGAATTTATGAAATTCTATAATACTTAATTGTTCGAAATTCAAAAAAATAAGCAACGGAAATTAGCAAAAATTTCAATTCAAAATCACTTGTATTTCAATTATTTTCAAATATTTCAATTTAACACCTTTTAAAATTTAATTATTTCTAATAATTTACATTTAAGACTTTCGTAAACTTAATAATTTTAATTAGGGTCAGTTGGGGTAAATGGGGACAAAATCGCTATTTTTCACAAATTACGTAAGTTTCTTCCTTTAAAAGGTAATATTTGCGGATTTATTTTTTTAAGTTGTTATTTACGTTCCCAGGATTAATTTTATGCAGCAGAAAAAAATTTAGATAAGCTTTAAATGCATAAAACTGACTGTTCCCATTTACCCCAAAATTTAGAAAATTTCATAAAATTTAGGGTAAATGGATACAGCATAGTTTCTAAGAAAGTTTTAAGAAAAACGTTTCCTTAAGTACATTACTGTATGATTTTTAAGTCTGTTTTCTTTGAAATGTGAGACAAAATACTGAAACAGTTTGACTTTGATTTTAAAGTTTTGATGCATTGAGTGATAACTTGAATTATCTTGCTGTTAATTGTCAAGATAAAAGCTTGGCAATACACAAAACCTCTTGCAGGTGATCTGAGGTTAAAATATTGATGTTGAACTTAATTTTAAAACTGAAAATTAAGCTCCAAAACCTCTTGTCCCCATTTACCCCAACTGACCTTATAACTCTTCCGAAATATAATTATTTTTTTAATGAATTTTATAATATTTTCCGAAAATTCAATTATTTCTAAAAATTTTAATTGTAACTCTCAAAATTTAATTATTTTTAATAATTTTAATGAAATTTGTCGAATTAAAGAATTTATGAAATTTAATAATTGTTAAAAATTAAAAAAATCAGCAACGGAAATTATCAAAAATTTTAATTCAAAATTACCTCTAAAATTTTATTATTTCTAAAATTTTCTATCTAAAGCTTTCTGAAATTTAACAATTTCAACTATAACTTTCCTGAAATTCAATTATTTTTAATGATTTTTATAATATTCTTCGAAAATTCAATTTTCTAAAACCATTTTTAACTTAGGAAATTTTCAAATTCTATTTTTGTCAGCAATTTCTAATAATTTTTTCAGTAACAGATATCATAAAAAAATTTTAATTAAAACTCACTTGAAGTTTAACTAAATCACTTGGAGTACAATTATTTTCAAAAATCTTAATTATAAATCTTTAAAAATTCAATTACTTTTAAAAAATGATACCTAAAATTATTTGATAAATTATTTTCAGTTCTGTAAAATTTAACTTATTTATTGTCTGTTTAACAAAATCCTTATTGAAATTCAATTATTTTTAAAAATTTCAACTTTAACTCTTCCTGAAATTTGTTTGACCATCAAAACCTTAAAGTCGATCCGAGGCCTGAAATAAATTAATATACATAACAATAATGTAATTTATATGCTTTCATTTTCTCAATTTCAGTTGCTCGATACAATTTTCAGTTTTCTAGCAAGAAAAACAGATTTCTATACCGGTGGAGGCGATGGAGCTGCAAAAAAGGTATTAAAATCTTATTTTTCAAGTATCTTAGAATAAATAATTTTTAAACACATATCAAAAATTATTTCGATATTTATAGTTAACTTAAAAAACGTTGAGTTTTATTTCGCTTGTCTTGAACTTTATTTTCTGTGTATAAAAAATATATTAATTTTTTCTGCAGCTGGTAATAGACATATTCAAGAAACACGAAGGTACAGGTATAACGAAAGCCGAGACTGAGAGTGCAGAGCGAGCTGAAAAGAATAAAAAGCATTTAGAGAAAATTGAGAAAAAACGAAAAGAGGAAGAAATTGCTCAAAAAATGGAAACTGATAATAGAATTGTTGAGTTGTCTGATGAAGAGGCTGTAAAGTTGCAAGAAGAACTTGATAATAAGGTAAACGACATTTTTTTTATTCATTTCAGCGAACGTAGAAATCCCTAAAATCCTTGAAAACTCCTTGAATTTTTCTTTTTTTTTAAAAAAAAAACTTTGAAAATCCTTGACTTTTATAACAAAACCTCGAATTATTAAATTTTTCTAAAATAATGATATTTATTTCTTAAGATGAGGCACCATCTTATTAATTTGACTTCTTTAAATGTAAATGATTGCAGAAAGTTTTAATATTTTTTTGTATCATTTAAGTTCTAAGAAACAAAGAGTGGTCAACAGTAGAAAATATTAATTTTTGACCAATTTAGAATTTATAATACAAAAATTAAAAATTTTCAAACTAATTTTCAATTTCAATTTTTAACTATTTTTTATCGACAATTTTTCCACGTTTTTTAAATGATTATTCCATAAAAATAATTAGTTAGAATTTTCAATTTAAAGAATTTTATTGGATATACTAATTACTTTTAAGACAAATTTTGTTTTCAAATTAGTCTTTTATATAATTTCTGTTTAAGGATGATTCTCTCAAAAAGGACAAAAAAAACTCTTTCACGGTAATTTGTTCAAAAATAATAAAATTGTTTCAAATTATTAAAAATTCTGTTAGCCATACGTTAAGATTTAACAATTTTCAATTGAATCACTAAAGAAAAAATCGAAAAAGAACAAATAACTAAAATATTGAATAAAATCTGATGATACGGAGGGGAGTTTTAACACTACGTTTCATTCAATAATTCAGTTATTTGACTTTTTTTGGAAATTTTTATTAGTGATCCAATTGAAAATTGTTAAATCTGACCGTATGGCTGGCAGAATTTTTATTAATTGCAATTATTTTTTAACAAAAACAAATTCTAATTTAACCGAATTTTAATCCAGCATAATTCTCAATCAACCTTATTGGTTCGAATTTTTATTTGATATAATTCTCATCTTTTTATAATTTTTCCTTCTATCTTCATTTGTCCGAAATTACAAATGTCCAAATATACAATTTTAACAGAATGATTTCGACGCGATTTTTAAACTTTTGACCAATCAGAAATTATGAAGAAAATCGTGATTTGTAAATTTTAAAAACAGCACCAAAATTTTTATATCGATTATTTGTTTGGCCAGTTGCAAATTCGGTAAAGTAAAAATTCTGGGTTTTAAGAATTTTATATCAAATAACAAATCGTTAAATTAAAATTCTTTGAATTAAAGTTTTGGCAAATTATGAATTTTTGAATTTTAATAATCAACTCAATTAAAATTATGTGAAATAAGAATTCTGCTAAAATTAAATTTGGTTAAATTAGAATTCTATTAAACAAAAAGTTGTGTAAAGAGAAATTCTGTAAATTCTAATAAAAAAAATCGTCAAAAAAATAATTTTATGTACCTACCTAATATAATTGTTTAAAATGAAAATTGTAGGTACCTAAAGTTTTTTATGGAATAATCATAGGCCAATTGATTTGTCGTCATAAATAAAAAAAAATTCATAGTTTCTACGCCAAAAGTGGACCTTGAAAAAATTTATTTTAGATCTTGAGAAACTTTGTAAAATTCTTGAATTTTGTTTTCATGAATCGCTGGAAACCTTGTTTCTTTTATTTATTTATGTCTTATGTATTTTTATAATGTATGTGTTTCATTTTTAAGAAAGCAGAGGGCGTCGCATCGAGTAGTTCTATTGCTGCCGAAAGCAAAATAAAAACAGAAATTGCAGATGAGGAAGAAGATGAGAATGAAAAAGGAAAATTGAAGCCCAACAGTGGAAATGGAGCAGATCTTACAAACTACAGATGGACACAAACTCTTCAAGAAATTGAGGTAAGTGTTAATATGTAAATAATTAAGAAAACATTGAAGAATGCTTTGATTTTAAAATGTTCATATTTTTTGCTAAAGAAAATAATTGAAATATTAATTTATTATAAGCAGATCATTAAACAACATTTAGATATATTAAAAACTCGAATTTTGAAAAATTTTGGCATAACAATACTTTCTTCATGAGGAAGCAAAAAAAAATTTAAGTTTTGTACAATTTTTGAAAATTTATGTTTGTGTTAGAATTTTTTTTTAAATAGAGAGTTTAAATCTTGAAAATTATTCTAACTTAAAAATTCTTTTAGGTCTATTAAATATTTGATTAACACTATTCTATCAATTGATTAGTATATTTATGTATTATATTTTATATTTTTATATTTATTTATTTTCTTTATTTATTAGGGGAAAATGGGGAGTTGTGCACTGAGTTTTGTTTTTCGATCAAAACTATTATATAAATTAGTTTTCTGACAACTCTATTATATAGAGCTTTTAGTACACGTACAAACACAACTTTGTTTGTTTGTTTGTTTGAAATATAATGCAGCCCTCGGATCGATCAGCAAAAAAATTTGCTTCCTCGTGGAGAAAGCATTAACATTGAAATAAACATACAAAAATAATATAATAATATAAACATTAAAGTACCTATACATTTGAGTAAAATTTAAAGAATTATTGGAAGTTAAAAAATCAAAAATTCATATTTTAACCGAAATTTCTAAATATTAATGAAAAATAATATATAATTTATAGTTATTTACAATTACATCGATTCGTTTTAATGCAAGGAACACAATTATTTTATATTTAAATTTGAATTTAAATAAATATGAAATTTTTCAGCTAAAATGTGTATTTTCTATTTTTTAACTTTCATTAATTTATTAAATTTACCTCATATGTAAATTTTATATATACCAATCGATTCGTTTTCATGTAAGGAATAGAATTATTTCATCTATAAACTTAAATTTAAATGATCACAAAATTTTATAGCCAAAATGTGAATTTTTAATTTTTTAACTTTAATTAATTCTTTAAATTTAAATTAAAACTATACTTTATATATACTGATCGATTTGTCTTGACGTAAGGAATACGATTTTATTATATATAACCTTAAATTTTTCTATTTACAAATTTTTTCGATTAAAAAAAATTTTTTTTTTTTGTATTTTTAAAATCCTTTGGTCAGATTTGAGATATTAATATGATAAATGAGCCTACTAAATTTTATCTAAATCTATTAAAACCTGTTAAAGTTATCTTCTAAACAAAAAAGGGATCCACACACACATACATAAATCCGGACAATTGATCAGGATCTCATATAACATGTTTCTATATAGAGAAAAATTTGTTTCCGACACTTTGAAAATTTTTACAAACGAAAGGACTACAAAGCTTCCTCCACGAGGAAGCAAAAGACTAAAATTTTGCAAATTCCACCTCTTTTTACAAAAACTATATAAGTTTCTTAAAACTGATCAAAATCGAAAACCGAACGGAATTCAAAAGCTAAATAGACACACGTTACCAAAACATCAACTTTTGCATTACCTACTAAAAAAACATAATCTTTGGATAAATTAAGTGTCAGCTAAATTACATAGAATTGACGAATGTGAACAATCACAAAAATAAACTAGGTTTCAATTGCAATTTTTCAATTAAATGTTATAAGAGAAAATGATAAAACATGTAACAAAAGGTAAATAAAAGTAAAAGAAAAATATTAAATAAAATAATGACACGAATAAATAAAATCTATGCTGAAAACTTTGGTCTTGTTTGTAAAACAGGTCATAATTTTTATTTATTGTAATTATTTTTATAAAATTATTATTGCACTAACAACGACGATAATTTTTGAAGTATTCATTTAAGAACATATTCTGCCATTAAATAAATTTTTCTAAAAAAGTTGACAATTGTAAATAAATTATTATAAACAAGCGTTCTCAATCATTCAAAAAAACTTCTTTTATTTCTAAGGAACAAATTTCTTACTGGAAATTCATTCAACTTGAAAATTTCCTAAAGACTTTTTGTCAGAGGAAACAAAAAAAACTTTATTACCCACAGTTCCCAGTTTTCAATTAAAAACTAGTTAACAAGTTACTTTTAATTTTAATTTTGTAATTTTATATGTTGCGTCGACATAAGGAATTTCACACAAATAAATTAGTCTCTTCAGTTTAGAAAAAGAGTTACGCTTTTTTAATTTCTATATTTACAAATTGTATAAGTTTTATATTATTTATTTGCAACAAGTAAATAAAAAAATTCTGCACTTCTAATTTTTTAATTTTAATAATTTTTTTTAAAGATTGAGAATGTTTTTAATATGCACGGTACTGACAAAGAAAAAAATAATTTTATTTATTCAAATTACATTTACGAAAGAATAGATAAACTTTTTGTAAAAAGTATATAAATTGCACAAAAAATATCTAACTTAAAATAATAAGGAATTTATGTGCACTGTTTCATTTCGCTGTCTGGATTTTGAAGATAAGAAGTGGCAAACTACAAAATAAACCATTTTCTTTTTGGAATCATGTAAAAAAAATTCGCAGTACATTTATTACCTTCACATGTGTCTTCGGATCACAGAAATACATTAAACCAGTTCAACGCGGCACAAATATTCGTCTTTTGAAATAATTGAAAAATATACACAAGATGTAAATATTTTTCAAATAATAACTTTTTCAAAGAAAGTTAAGTTTCATGTCCCAGATATTTCTTAATTTTTGTTAAAAATTAAAATTTTAAGTTATTTAACTACAGAAACAATTATTAATTTTAATTAAAAATACAAAAAAGAATAATCGAAATAGAACAAATAAATATTTGTTCTTTTTTGTATTTTTAATAATTGAGGAACGTTAAAGTTTAATTTTATATTAATTTTAAATTTCAAATTTCTTGATACTTTTTTCACTTTACTGTAATTCTCTTTTATTATGAAAAAATATTATGATCCTTTTTTATGAAAAAATCATTGAAGTTTAATAACAAGACTTAAATATATAAATAAATAAATAAATAATAAATAAACAATTTTTCAAAGTTTGGACTTTAATATTTGGTACAGTTATTTTTAAAATAATATAAAGAAAACTTTTAAAAAATTAAGAAATATCTGAGACACAAAGCTCAAGTTTCTCGCAAAATGATCTCATTCTCACTTTCAATCAATTAAATAATTACTCATAAGTAGCTTCGAACATACTCATTACACAAATGTAATTACTTTTTAACGTACCACACACACTAGACGCTGTGTAATACAAATTTATATCCTATAAGCGTGAGCTTTAAAGGCGAATGGAACTTTTTGAGTGAGCAATTTTAATACACATTTTACATGATTTTAATTTTGTCTAAATTGCTAAATTAGAGAAAAAAATAACACTACTTATTTAATATTTTTTCTCAAAAAATTTCATTCGCAAACTTTACAATGCTTATAAGTATTATATAATACCTACTTTGAAAGGTTTTTCCGAAAGGACTATCTGAAAATTCCATTAATAAGTTCCATTGGAATTCCATTAGATTATCGTAAAAATTATTGTCGGAATCTCATTTCAAAGGAAGTCTTTTGAAGTGGATAATATTATCAAAAAAGTATCGATTTAAAAATATTTTGCTATATATTAATTCTAAAAATTTGATTAAATTTGTTTTTTTCAAATACTCAAATTTTATACCTCATTTCTCTATTTATACATTTTAAAAAACAAGCCTAAATTTTAAAGAAATTTCTTCTTGTATTTTTATCACAAATTAGTTTACTTAATGATGCTTAAGCAATGTTTTTTTGTTTTATTCCTTGTAATAAATCAACATTGAGAGTTCCTCAAGAAAACGCTCTCCGGTGAAGTTGTAGTTAATAGGCTGTTGTTTTGATAATCTATCCGTATGTACTCCTGGCCCTCACTATAAATAAAAATCAAGTATTGTTATTAAGAAGCATTTATACACAAGAGGATGGTAAAAAAAACTTGTTTTAACATATTTTATTACATCTAATTAATATTTAGAGGACATTATATTTTTCTAATTAATATTTGACAGAATGTCTATTTAAACGAATTTTTACTTGATTGATAGAATCTTATACTGTAGAATATTAATTTTGCAGAATATTTATTTGCTCGAATATTAATGTTACAGAAAATTAAAATGATTGAAAATCAATTTGCCAGAAATAATTCGACGGGAACTTCAAATTTGACCAATCACAATTTTCTTGATAATTTCTGATTGGTCAAATTTGAAATTCCCGACGAATTATTTATGGCAAATTGATTTTCGACCATTTTAATTTTCCGGAACATTAATATTCGAGTAAATGAATATTCTACAAAATTAATATTCTTTCTGCAAAAACAAGACAACGTTTTCGATGAAATAGAGATTTGATCAAATTTAATTTCTGGAAAATTAATGTGCGACTATATAAAAATTCTGTCAAATTGATTTTCGACCAATTGCATTTGGGATCATCCATAAACTGAATTTTGAATTTCTACGGCTTCCAAATTAATAAGCTCGATTTTCTATGTTACCGAATTTTATAAAGTAGAATTTATATTGAATTGAACTTTTATATTTAAGAATTTTTATTTTCTTTAGTTCATTGAATTTTTATTTACTATAATTTCTATTTAACGGAAATTTTATTTTGCAAAATTTTCCTAATACAAAGTTCGAATTTAATATAATTGTTTTTGAATCAAATTTTCATTACACAAAATATTCATTTAACATAATTTTCAGTTAACTGAATTCATATAATTTCTATTGGACAAAACTTTTTTTAACCGAATTTTCAATATTGAGATTTTTTTATTTAGACAAATTATTATTTAGCAAAATTTTATTTAAATAGAATTTCTACTTAGTGGAATTTTTAAACAGCAGAATTTTTATTTCATCTAAACTATATTTGTCAAAAGTTTTCTTTCTACGAATTGTGATTTGAAAGAATTATCAAATAAGTTTTATTTGCAACCTCAATAAAAATACTTTTATGATTTGTTAGTTCATACTAGTTTTCAGCAATAATAATAATAATAATAATTTAACGTACCATCCATTAAAAGAATTCCTGCGAGCAATCCAACCATAAACAAAAAGCTCATTGTGCAGACTAACACAGTTAGCTTATTTTTCGCACACCAAGATTTCCGATGAACAATATTTTGTCTACCTAGTCCGTTGACTACTGTAAAATGCGTACTACTGGCAATTGATGTTGTATCAATTTGTTTTGGAACTGTCACCGATGGTGGATTTATGGCAGCAAGATTTGCAAGGTTAGCTGCTGTCAAAAGTAGAGTACCTGAAGCAGCGCTCTAAAAATTAAAATTAAATATTAAAACTGGTAATAAATAATTAGGTACCATTTATTTATTTGTCAGAATTTTTATTTTTTCGAATTTCCCTTTAAGGGGGGAACACCAGTTGTAACTTTCGAAAAATCGAATTTTTTTTTTGTGCATTTTCTTAAAGTATACATATTTAGAAATGTGTCTGTAAATTTCAAAGTTGATCCGGTGAAAAATAAATGAGATATACAGAACACTGCAGCGGCGCGTCCCGTGGCTTTATACAAGGTGGCCAGCCATACCTGACCCTAACGACACATGGCCTTTTCCTATGATTTAGAAACGGCAACCACTGCGGAAGAGTTATTATATGGTCCAGGAATCGATGACTCTTTGTAACTTGGAAACAAAATTTCTCCTGAACAAAAAAAAGTAAGTTGAAACTTTGAATGCGTTTTTCTCAAAATGACATTTTCCAAGTCGGTGACCACGATTACTCGAATACCATTAAACCGATTTATTTAAAATTTAGTGTGCTTCATTTACACATATAAGTCTAGTTCGTGATCGAAGGATTTTTTTTTTTATGCAAAACTTTTTTTTATATAGCTGAAAATCGACCGTATTTTTTTAACGAAAATCATACTTTTGACTTTGACAGGTCGCCAATTTGTCAAATTTTTTTTGGGTGCAGTTCCGAATAGCACATACCTCTGATTTCGATAAAACTTGGTATCCCTACGTAATTTGGTGCGCTGATTACGAAAATCATAGTGAAAATTGGCGGAAATTTAATTATCATGGTAAAAACCATAAAAAACACCATAAAATCATGGTTTTTTTCGATTATCTCGTAAAAAACAAAAAACTTCGAAAAAAGTTTTAGACGAAAGTTGTAGATCTCTAAAAAACACACATTTCATGTTTTATGCATTTTTTACCAAAAGTCATTATTTTTCGAGAAAAACGCAAAATAGTAAACACGGCCTTCGGCCGCGTAAGGTACTGCTCGCTTCTCTTTTTAAGAAATCTTGGCGAGAGGGGGTGGATGTGTCCGAAAGTAATTTGCAGAAATTATCATATTCACCATTACTCAGGATCCAACGAATTCCGCAAAATACTTTCGGCCATATCCACCCCCTCTCGCCAAGGTTTTTTTAAAAAGAAAAGCGAGCAGTACCTTACGCGGCCGAAGGCCGTGTTTACTATTTTGCGTTTACCGCTGCTGTAGACTCCACCCCACAATTTCTGCAAATTACTTTCGGACACATCCACCCCCTCTCGCCAAGATTTCTTAAAAAGAGAAGCGAGCAGTACCTTACGCGGCCGAAGGCCGTGTTTACTATTTTGCGTTTTTCTCGAAAAATAATGACTTTTGGTAAAAAATGCATAAAACATGAAATGTGTGTTTTTTAGAGATCTACAACTTTCGTCTAAAACTTTTTTCGAAGTTTTTTGTTTTTTACGAGATAATCGAAAAAAACCATCATTTTATGGTGTTTTTTATGGTTTTTACCATGATAATTAAATTTCCGCCAATTTTCACTATGATTTTGGTAATCAGCGCACCAAATTACGTAGGGATACTAAGTTTTATTGAAATCGGAGGTATGTGCTATTCGGAACTATATCAGATCTCTAAAAAACACACATTTCATGTTTTATGCATTTTTTACCAAAAGTCATTATTTTTCGAGAAAAACGCAAAATAGTAAACACGGCCTTCGGCCGCGTAAGGTACTGCTCGCTTCTCTTTTTAAGAAATCTTGGCGAGAGGGGGTGGATGTGTCCGAAAGTAATTTGCAGAAATTGTGGGGTGGAGTCTACAGCAGCGGTAAACGCAAAATAGTAAACACGGCCTTCGGCCGCGTAAGGTACTGCTCGCTTTTCTTTTTAAAAAAACCTTGGCGAGAGGGGGTGGATATGGCCGAAAGTATTTTGCGGAATTCGTTGGATCCTGAGTAATGGTGAATATGATAATTTCTGCAAATTACTTTCGGACACATCCACCCCCTCTCGCCAAGATTTCTTAAAAAGAGAAGCGAGCAGTACCTTACGCGGCCGAAGGCCGTGTTTACTATTTTGCGTTTTTCTCGAAAAATAATGACTTTTGGTAAAAAATGCATAAAACATGAAATGTGTGTTTTTTAGAGATCTACAACTTTCGTCTAAAACTTTTTTCGAAGTTTTTTGTTTTTTACGAGATAATCGAAAAAAACCATGATTTTATGGTGTTTTTTATGGTTTTTACCATGATAATTAAATTTCCGCCAATTTTCACTATGATTTTCGTAATCAGCGCACCAAATTACGTAGGGATACCAAGTTTTATCGAAATCAGAGGTATGTGCTATTCGGAACTGCACCCGTCTAAAACTTTTTTCGAAGTTTTTTGTTTTTTACGAGATAATCGAAAAAAACCATCATTTTATGGTGTTTTTTATGGTTTTTACCATGATAATTAAATTTCCGCCAATTTTCACTATGATTTTGGTAATCAGCGCACCAAATTACGTAGGGATACTAAGTTTTATTGAAATCGGAGGTATGTGCTATTCGGAACTATATCCTTTTTTTTTTTTTTTAAATCCTTCGATCACGAACTAGATAATCTTATAATAAATGTAAATCAATTTCATTTTTGTATTTCAGACGAAGTATACTTGCAGAATGCTGGTCACCGCAATTCGCCTTTTTTCTTAAGGCGCCACTTCAATGGCTCATATCTCCAAAAGTTTTTGTTAAAAAAATTTTTTTTTTCTTTTAAATTACAGCTTTTTACATGTACTTTTAACTAATAAATAGTATTCTTTGAAAAGATTCATTGTTCTTTTGGAAAATATTCTTGTATAAAGCATTATTTTTTGAGTTACAACTGGTGTTCCCCCCTTAACTGATTTTTTTTTATAAATTACACATTTTTTACTAAATCGAAAATTTATTTGACAAAATTTTTATTTGATTAAATTTTCATTTGACAGAACTTTCGTTTGTTCACGTAAAAAAAATTTTAAGTAACTTTTACTGCTTACAACGTAAAACCAAAACTATCCAGAACTTATTGTGCATCTCTGGCAACTTTTGTTCCGGAAATAGAAAAAATTACTCCTGAAGTAGTAAAATGTACTCCGGAAATAGTATTTTGTTACTATTTCCGGAGCAAAAGTTGACAGACATGCGCAGAAATTCCGGAAAATTTAGGGGCGCGAATTTAAAAATTAACCAATCAGAAATTATACGAAAAAGTTTTTAAATTTCTGTAAATAATAATATTAAATTTTACAGAATTTTAAATTAAAAAATATTTTAAATAATTGATTTTTTGAAGAAGTTGATGGAAATTATTAAATTATTAAGTTTAGATTTTTGAAAATAATTGAATTGCATGTGATTTTCAATTGAAATTTTTTTTTGGTTATTCGATTTGCTGAAATTGTTTTTGTTTTAGAAATTTCAAACAGTTATTAAATTTTTAAAAATATTTAATTGAAAAATATTTTTATCGTTAACAATAAATCTTAGAATTAAGATAATGCAAAATTAAATTAAAATTGGATAAATTTCATTGTAATTAATTTCTTTATTGTTTGTAAAAAAAAAAATTCTAGCACACATAATTATTAAATTGTAAATTAAATTCTATATGTGAGTCAGTTTTGAAACGTTAAATATTCTTCTACAATAAATAATTAATTTTAAGAAGTTCAAAAAGCGTCATTACCATAAAGCTTTCTATGAGGAAGCGAAATCAGAATTAAATGTGGAAAAAATCATTCTTCCGGGATATAAAAGTTCTTTATAAAAAAAAAATTAATTGTTTTTTTCTCTCTGCCTGAATGATATTGACATATAAAATATGTTAAATAAAATCACTTTCATAAATTAATAATGATCTTACATGAGTGCTTGCGGTAGATCCTTGTGAGGAAGTCGAACCTCTAGAGGGAGAAGACGCATGCAAATAATGACGTATACAGTTTTCATTTTCACTGTCTCTTTCATTACGTCCAAGTAAAGTTGGCCTTGGTATGTGCCATGAAAGACAATTTGCCACTTCAGAAGCTCCAGTCTTTACCTTGATCTGCAACAAAAAATCTATTTACTAAATGGAAGTTCCGTAATACGTTTTTTTTCATTTTAATTTTGTTACTTTGTCTGGAATTCTTCTCAAACAACTTAATTGCCTTTACTAATGAAATATATTTAAAATTATTCGATTTTTTTCATATTCTGAATTTTTAAACAATTAAGATATATTTCAAGCAATAATTACATTTTCATTTTTCTTTAATTTTTTACACGGAGAAAAAGAAAAAGTAATTTTTACTACTTTCAGAGTAAAACTGGACCAACTCGAAGTTTCTGCGCATCTCTGGCAATTTTTACTCCAAAAATAGTAAAATTTATTATTTCTGTAGTAAATTTTACTGTTTCCGTAGTAAGTTTTACTATTTCTAGAGTAAATTTTACAATTTTTGGAGTAAAAATTGCCAGAGATGCGCAGAAACTTCGAGTTGGTCCAGTTTTACTCTGAAAGTAGTAAAAGTTACTTTATAAAAGAAATCTTTTTTCTCCGTGTATTTATATTTATTTATATTCTATATCGGATGAATAGAATAATTACTACAGTAAAGAAAATTTGTTTCAAATATTCGGTGACTTGGCTATTATCAAATAAAAATTTATTGACATTAAATAATTATTTAATAATTATAATTATTATTTGAGTCTATTAAATTCGACAAAGGAAAAATTCTGTTAAATGGAAATTGTATTATTAGAAAATCTATTTTATTAAAATTCATCTTATTTTATTAAAATTCAGTTAAATAGAAATTCTATAAAATCAAAATTTTGTTAAATAGAAATTTTTCGATATTAAAATTGGACTCATTATAAAATCCACGTTTTTAAAATTCTGCCAAATGTAAATTCAATAAATTTTAATTCGACACCACAAAAATTTCGGCAAGTCTAATTTGGGGTTTTTTCATGCGTCCCTCCTTACTAAGAATAATTCTATAAGAATATTATCAAGAAAATTTATTTCAAATATTTCAAAAACTATGTCCATTCGTATTTTAAATAAATTTTCTACTAATTTAAACTGCTGTGGTTTTCCTTTTAAATTTCAGACAAGAATTCAATTTTGGAGTGTTTATTTTAATGTTGTTTAAATAATTGAATTTTCAAACAAATATTAAAGTTTGAATTTTTAAACAAATATTAAAATTATTAAAAATAATTGAATTTTGGAAGAGTTATAGTTGAAATTATTAAATTTTAGATGGTGTTAAATTGAAATTTTTGGTATTTTCATTTGCTGACTTTTAAATTTTAAACAATTATTGAATTTCATAAAATTTTTAATTGAAAAATAGTTTAAAATAATTCAATTTGTGAAAAATTTTTAATAAAATTATTGAAAATATCTATTTTTTTTGTTTAAAAATTTTTGTAAAAAATGTAAATAAGTCAAAAAAGTCGTATAATCCGAGGTCTGTAAATAATCAAATAACCAATTATCAAATAAATTTTCGTTACAGTGTAGTTAAGTTATAGTAATATATATTTGCTATTTCTTCTACTATGAATTAATTCAATTGTAAAATATTAAGCAATTAATTGAATTATAGTGAAAAGAAACAGATTTAGAGACTGATTGAGATAAATCTGTAAAAATGCATTTTGCTCAAAACGAGCATTACAATATTACTGTCCTAATTATATTGTTAAGTTTTTATGAATAAATGTCAGAAATGACGGTATCTCTGTTCGTTTTAAAAAAAAGCTAGAATTTCTACTTCCTTATAATTTTTTAAATATTCGAACAAAGTTATATCAGCGATCTAAAATATTGACGTAATACTTAGTTAATTGAGAATAAATGCTCTGAGTCACTTGTAATTCGCTTATTGCTTTAGAACAATTGAATAGTGCACTTGAGTAATATGCATTAGGACAGTGATGTAATTAACGTCACATATATAACAATTTTCTTTGAAAAATCAATATCTACAAATTTATTCAAACGTATAAAAATCCCTTGCATACAGTGAAATACTATGAATTGCAAATAATATTGTAACATTGTAGATATAATCAGTAAGGCTTTTCTAGGCCGTCTTAATTATTATCTAACAAATAATAATAACGTAGTCACATACAAAAAATAATAGTATCTAAGTTCGAGCATCAAAGTACCCTTTCTCCATATATTTTGATGCGTTGAACTCGAATCTGAAGTCAGATTTTCAAAATTTTAAATGTCGGATACATTTTTTTTTTAAATGTCAGGTTGTTATAAAAAAATTTAAAAACAAAAATAATATTAATAATAATATTAATTTTCAATTACGAGACGACGGTCGCACAGTCATCTAAAACTAAAATTCATTGTTCAAACTCAGCTACAAGTCACAAATCTTAACCGATTTTAATTTTTCGTTTTGAAAAATGATTTGCGATAAATTCCTAAGGAAACTATTAGATTTAATTTATAAAAATGTATATAAAAAAATACCTTTAGGCAATTATTAACAAGAAAAATCAGAAAAAGTAACAATTAAATAAACAAATGTATAAATGTAAAAATTTATAGCTGTCAACTTTTTTAAAAAGTAATTGTTAAGGTATTTTACCGCTTTGGACAAAGTGGATAAATGTTTCTTGTTGAATTTTGAAATTCATTCATTTAATTTCCTTTTATTAATTATTTTTCTATAACCTTACACATTTTAAAATCAAAATTATAATTTGCAATGATTCTGAAATTAGAAACACTTTTTGACATTAATTCTTTTGCCTCGCACTTCACTCACTCTATGATGAACAGTATGACTACTAAATGCCAGATTATTGCTGTTTAATTTAACAAGGTTTAAATAATAATAATAATAATAAAAATAATCATTTCCAATTATTGCAATGAAATTTTTCTCGTTCTATTATTTAAAAATTATTTCATTTTGAAAATTAAAAGAATATTTTTTAACCCCAAAAATCAACGAGCAATAATGCGGACATGCCGGATCAAAGAAGGGCACATAACCCATTTGAATTGCATTAGTTATGTGCCTTTCTTTGATTAGGCAGCACAATTATTATTTGCCTATCACTTATACACAGAAAAAAAATTCAACTCAGAATGAGTCGTGTAAGCGGCTCATTTTGATGTGCAACAAAAATGAACCAGGTTGGTGGCGCCACTTTCTATGTTGTTTAGCATTGAATTATTTTGAGTTGCAACAAAAATGAGACTAGGTTTTTTCTGTGTAGTCATTTAGTTTGTAATTTTAGATTTCAACCTTCTATTAAGAATATATGTTCCCAAAATACCACAAATAGTAATTTTTAGGGTTCCGTACTCGGTTGGGAACCCTATTAATATCGGTTTTTTGAAATCGTATACCCCCCCCCCTAGCGGCCACATCTTTTGACATAAAGAGCTCAAATTTGGCACACCTACGTATTTTAACGTGAAAATTACAGGAAAAATATAGCGAACTTGATTCAGATCAATTTACATAGCGTTGTCAATGAAAAATAAAAAATTTCGAAAAAAATGATTTATTCTCCCTAGCGCACACAATATTCAACCCAAACTGTTCATATTTGCTGTAAAACTATATTTTTGCGTGAAAAATACAGGGAAAAAAATGTAAGCGCGATTGGAGTTGATGATCAATTTTTATCAAATTTTTGAAGAAAAATGATAAATAAGAAAAAAATGTATTTTTCCACAAAAAACGAAAAAAGTTTATCTAAAGTGATTCAAATTTATATATTTTGACGTATTTTTACGTGTAGATTACAAAAAAATATAGCGAGGATGATTGGAGTTGATTTTTCTGGGGCTGTCAAGAAAAAACTGATAATTTTAGAAAAAATCATGAATTTTCTCCCAATAACGGAAAAAATTTTATCTAAAGGGCTTCAAATTTACTATTTTTACGTATTTTTATGTGTAGATTATAGAAATAATTTAATAAACATGATAAGAAGTGGAAACAGTGGACTTTTTGCTTAAGTTTATTTCTTCAGTCGTTATAACTCTAAAATAAAATTGGGAGTTCTTTATGTTCATTTTATAAAAATTTGGGTTCCTCGCGGAGAAAGCAATAAATTTCTTTAACTCATTTAAGTGATTTAAATAATTTAAATTCAATTAAAACGCAAAATGTAAATACAATAAAAATATTGCGAGTTGAAATAAAATTATGTTTCTTATATTTTTTTAGTAAAATATTTTTTATAAAATAAAATCGGACAAGTGCGAGTTACACTCGCACTGAAATCGAGGGTTCCGTACTCGAAGCAAACTTATTTGGTATAAAAACAAATGTTTAATAAATATGTGTTGTATGTTAAATAATATATGTGATACAAAAAGGAACAATTTAAAAAAAAATTTAAGAAAATTGTTCCTTTTTGTATCATATATATTATTTAACATACAACACATATTTTTTAAACATTTGTTTTTATACCAATAAGTTCGCTTCGAGTACGGAACCCTCGATTTCAGTGCGAGTGTAACTCGCACTTGTCCGATTTTTTGGAAGTTATATGACTTTTCTATTTCCAGTCCGCCAATTAGATTTAAGGGGGGGTCAGGTCCAGTCGATGGTTTTTTCTGTCTGCTGGACCCGACGTATTCAAACGCGTATTGTACAGCCGGTATTGAATATTTTTGCACAAAAATTTAATCTGAGATAGCTTATGATGTGTTTTTTAAAATGTAATTTTTATATGGATTAATTTATTTTAAGTTACCGCCGGTAATGGCTTGGTGCTGAGAACACTTGGTCTGCGTTCGATGAGGTTAAGCACTTCTGAGCACGGTTAGTGCAAAGATGGGTTACCCTTTGTGAACGCAGTGACCGGATGTGTTTTCACCACGTGAAGACATACCGAGCGTAGGCTTGACGCCGAGGTACAACGGTGTGGATTGTCGATTAATTGTCCGATTCACACCGCTGGAACTCGGTTGTCAATAAGCCGGTTGTACTCAGGAGAGGTTTTCTACAGTTTTCCTTCTCCTCTGGCGAGAAAACCCATTACGGGTGGTCCAGGCAAATGCGAGTACTCCTATCGTCGAAAGTCGTACTGTAGGCGCACTAGGTTAATAATTTAGAATAATTTTCAGGGTTATGCTTCCAATCAAAAAGTATTCCTCGGGGACTCTTGTCGAGAGCGTTAGGCCAATAGGACAGGAGTATAAATTGAAAGAAATTTATTTTAAGTTAGTTAAAAAAATTGTGAAAAATAAAAACAAAAAATTACGTGTTTTTACTTAAAAATTCATGAGTTATTTAAATTTTAATATTATGACTTAAAAATTTTAAATTGTACTCTTTATGTATTATTTTTTAAGGAAAAAATTACCACAATAGCAGGACTTGCAAAGAAGGAATTTATTTTGTAGAATAAAATGTGACTTTTTACACTGAAAAAAATTTGCTTCGCATTAATGACTATTAACCATATAGTAACTTTAAATCTAGTCAGCGCAACCAAGCATCCTAGTCAATTCAGTTATGTAGCTTGGTTAATATTGTCAAAGTCGATTTGGTAGAATTGACCCCTTGTTTCCTAGTTATATTAACTAAGGTGTTTGGTTAATATCGCATGTATCTATAGTCAATTTTGCTAAAGTTTAATTAGTCAAAGTGATTCTAGTCAATATGTAACTAAGATACCTGGTTATTCTGATAAGTACTAAATTATCATCTGGTTCTATTTTGACACCTAAAATCGGTACTATTTTAGTACTTTCTTTTTACAGTGTACATTTGACTACCTGAGTAAATTCCCCCTCGAAAAGTTCTACTCTAACAGGGTGATTTTTATGTTCCGGATCCCCTAAAATTTTTTTTATTTATTTTTTTTTTTCGTTTTTTAAACAAAAATAATGGAATTAAAAAAAAAATTATATAAAAATCACTCTTTATATTGCTGTTATAATGATTAATTTAATTTTTCTAAATCTTGGTAGCTCAAAACAAAATGAAGCTAAAGCAAAATAATAATAATAATAATACAATTTTTAGACTCAAAAATCCAACTCTCCCCTAAAGTTTTGAATCGTTATTATTATAAATTATTTAAACAATTTGTTTTTGTTTCTTTTGCCAATCATACATACAGTCTTAGATTGACCATTTCGAGGTATTTAGTACCTACGTAAATAATAATTATATAACATATAGAAATTAAATTATATTAATTATTATGAAAACTATCTCTAAAGGTTCTCGCAAATATTACTAATAATTTTGATGTTTATTTATTTTTCAAATTTAAAATTGGCTAATTTAGTTTATTAAAAGTAATTGAAAATAATATTAATAATTGTGAAAATTATTAATTAAAAATTATCTTTTTACATATTTTTATTATTATCATAAGATGTTATGAAATACAGTTAAAAACTGTAAATTATTTGTTTAAATATTAGTACAAATTATTATCTACAAATTTATTTTTGAACTTTATTAATTAGTACAGAATTTAATTAAAAAGATTGAAAAAAAATTGTCTAATTTATGCCAAAATTGAGACCTAATATAGAGTGATTTTAATGAAAAAAATCCATTCGCCCACTGCGTTTGTTTGAAATGATTGTGTAATTTTTAATATATTTCATAATAATAATAATAATAAAAATAACAATCCTTACGTCTGGGGAAAGATCCTCGTAATCCTCAACTTTGATACATATTCCTGTAATATTATTCATTTTATGCAGCACTACTATTTTTTTCTTTCACAAACTTTAATATCACTTTAAAAAAATTTAGTAAATGCAGTGTGTCGTTTTTTTTATCCCGAGAAGCTCGGATTGCAATTTTGTGCTCTGTGCTTTGACTATCCTATAAAAATTAATCCTAATGAAGAAGTTTTTTTTTATTTTGAAATATACAAGTAATTTTTGTATACTTTAGAAAGAAAAGAATTGTAAATATTGTTGTGAAAAAATTTTAATTCCTAAATTTTCTATTAATTACTAACCAATTTGAATGCAATCGTTTAGAAAAATTGATATATGGAAAATTCATGCACAGAATCACTGCAAAAAATAATACACCCCGCCCGCCGTCTCAAGATAATTTCTCTCGCAACGTATGCGACTAGAAGTACCACTACATCTCTGGCCTTTGTGCTGAGTCCTTTTCTGCTTGGATCAGTTCTGGCTTTATACCTTCGCATCTCCCACTACAAACGAAATATAGTCCGTTTATATTCATCTACAGTGTAACTCTTTCACAAAACTGATCTTTATTCCCTTTGAAGTTATTCCTCGTTGATTACAGGTGTAGCGCAAGGTCAAAAATATATAAAACGAGAGATGCGTTTGGGAAAAATCGCGCTTGGAAAATATTCATGTTCTGAGAAAACAATAATTTATCTCTTATATAAAAGAATCCAAAAGTTATTTTTTTATTTTAATAACATTTGTATAAAAATATTATTTTTTCAATAATTTAAACTATATAAATATCAAAATTAATTACTAATTATTAATACTATTAAAATAACTAATAAAGTCATCATTGCTTTTTTTAAATTTATTACTTATTTTATCTGAAATTGATATTGACGTTAACTTTGAAATTTTCGATTTGGCTAAAATCTTTTTTTTATTTAGTGCTCTACCAAAAAAGGTTCAATGATTTTTTAAACAAAATTTTAATCCTTAAATTTTCATTAATTCTAAAAATCTGTACTGTAGCCTTTTTGAAATTTCTATTTAACATTCTTCGCCAAATTAATTATTTTTATTTAAATCAAATTTTTCTAATATTCAATTATTTAATTAAATTTTTAAAAAATATTTAATTAATTTGTAATTAAAAAAAAATCTTCTGCAACTCAATTTTACAAACATTTCAATTCAAAATCTCTAGAAATTAAATTATTTCTAAAAATCTTAAATATGTAACTCTTCTAAAACTAAATTACTATTTAAAATTATCTAAAATTTTTCATTAAATTAATAATTTTCAATAATATTAATCAATTTTTTTCAATTCAAATTTTATCAAGTTCTTTTAAAAAATTATTTAAAATATATTTTTTAGGTAAAAATTCTTCCATTTCCGATAAAGTATCTTATTTTTAAAAATAGTCTAATTTCTTTTAATCATTTTAACTTAAAACTATATTTGTTTGTTATTAAACTTTAAAATTTTATTTTTAAACTATTTTTATCCGATTTTTTTAAATTTAAAAAAAAACTATTTTCGTTTACAAAAATTTTAAGCCAGGTCCGATCGTGGGGAAATATGTTTTACAATATTTTTGGAACCTTTTTTGAATTTTCTAAATCATAAAATTTTTTTAATACCCCCAGTTTTTTTAAACTACTTACATTTATGTATTTAGATGGGTTGATTGCGAAAATAAAAGTAAAAATACCCGCCAATTTGATTTTTATGATAAAAACCATAAAAAAAAGGCTAAAAATGTTACTATAAAAAAAAATTTGGTTTTTTTTATGAAAAATATGCAAAATTTTGAAAAAGTATATAGAATGTAAAAAATGTATTAAAGTAAAATCTACTACTTCTGTTTAAAATTTTTTTCAAAAATTTTCATATTTTATCTATAAAATGCAAAAAAAAACATAATTTTTAGGATTTGTATGGGTTTTACCATAAAAATTAAATTTACAGGTATTTTCACTTTGATTTTCGCAATCAGAACATCAAAATACATAATAATAATTATTATTATACGTAATACGAATCAAATCCAAAATTTTGAAAAAAAAAATTATGAAAATTTTGAAAAAGTGTTTTTCTTAAAAATTTTTGAAAACTTTAATAACAGTTTTAGTTATTTTAATAGTATTGGTAATTTATTAAACTAAATATAGTATTGAAAATTATTTTTGAAAATATGCAAACAAAAATTTCAAAAATAACAATAATAACTGTTTTACTTATTTTAATATTAGTAATAATTTATTAAAATAAATAGTATTATACTTTCTAGCTTGAAAAATGGCATTATGTGTCTTAATAACCTGTTACGTAGTTAAAGGAGGTCAAGTGTAAATGTTTTTTTTATTTATTTGGGTAAACGCAGATAATCTCGTACAATATATTACAATATAGTCGGACACTTATATTTTTTGTCAAATAAATAATAAGATACTTATTTCAATATAATTCTTTTATAAAATGTGTTGATACTTATTCGGCTATTATAGTTATTATATTTAATTAAAATTGTTTCATTTTAATTCACGTTTAAGTATTTGGAAGAAAACGTGAAATTTAATCCTTACTCTCACGCTACCAGGCGTTGAAAAACTTTTTTCTTCACAAAACAATATATTGTTACTGCTTTTATTCGATTTAAATTTACTTTTCTAATTTAATAATAAATAATTTTTTTTATAATTTTTCATATGTATTTTTTATTTTTGCAATATGTAGATATATTTAAATTGTAAATAAAGAATAATAATTATAAAATATTTTAAAAAAGAAAATTTAACATAATAAAAGCTGTAAGAGTAATTTTTTGTAAATAAAAAAGTTTCATATTCAAATCCGGGATCTGATGAATCAGATTATTTAGATCTTTGAAATATTGTCATAATAAGAAATAAATGTAGCAAATTGAAAATAAAATGCTAAGTCTACTTTTACTTCTGGGATGTGTACAGATTGTATTTTGTCTAAACGGTCCATTTTAAACAAGTTTTGACTTTTTTTTCTCAAAGTAAAATGAATTAATATATATATATATATATATATATATATATATATTGCGAGAATATATAGTATATATACGAAACACGAAATGATCCAAGTCACTAAATTGATGCTAAGTTCCCTTTCCTCTCTGTATCGGCCTCGCTTACACTCATCTCCGGTTCCCAAGGTGAAGAATGATTATGCTTCTCATCATATACATATATAACACAAGGAGAATGATTTGTGAGAATGGTGATTTCAATGCTCGCGCAAGTACTTATTATCGGAAGAAAAAAAAACCATCAACTAATCGAAAATTGAAGAAAATACATGAATTTTCATTATAGTTTCTTAAAGTTGTTATAAATCTTTAAATTTTTTTCCTTTTTTTTTTAATAAACGGAACGAATAAATCAAACCCTAAAATTCATTGGTTAGAGTTGTTATTTAATAAAATTTCAACTGAGGCAAATTTTTAAATTTAATTGGTTAGAATTTCTATTTAATAAGAATTTCATTAGATATAGAATTTTCTTTTAGCCGAATTTTTATTTGTTTGAATTATTTTTTAACAATATTTCCATTAAACTGATTTTTTATATTACAGAATTTTTGCTCAACCAAAAATTCATTTAATAGAATTTCTATTTAATCTAATTTAACAAAAATTTTAGCCTAATATGTCAAGCATTTTGCGAGAAAACGTATGGAATCATTTATACATATGTGAAATTACAACAATCACATGACAGAATTGTGAATTCTACTAAATAAATATTCGATTACATAAAAATATTCTATTGAGTAAAAATTCTGATTATAATTTCAATTTTATTCAACAAAAATTCTAATAATGAAATATTTTGTTTTATGCGAAAATTTTGCATTAAAAAAATTGTTTTAAATTGTATATTTTAATTAATTGGAGATGTAGTGAACAGGGAAATTTCGTATGAAAAAATTCTGCAAAATAAAAGTTTGGTTTAGTAAAAAATTCTAAGATACGTGAATGTAAATTTTTAAAAATTTCTAAGTCCTTTGTATCTGATAGCATAGTTAAATTATTTATTATTATTATTATTATTATTAATATGATTATTATTAATTGAATGTTTATTTAAAATTTAACTAAAAATATACTTATTCAGCGAATAAGAGAAGCTATTTTTTTGTAATCTAATTTTAATAGCTCTGTATTCCCCCACTTTTTTGAAAGAAATAAAAATATCAAATAGTTTTACTATCAGGGTCGATCACCTTTCTTCCTTCCCTTTCCCTCAACAGCCTACGTGATTTTATAGACGTCACTAAAATATTTATATAGCTCTGTCGAAACGGTCCCAGCGAATATTCAAGTTGCGTATGTTGGTTTTTTAAAGGTATCCGTTTCTCCTGCGTTCCTTGTCTACACTTCTTTCCCCTTCCTTTCTTTTTTACCAGAGTTCCACATTGCATATACAAATTACGTCAGATAATGTGTCTGGAGATAGGGATTTTCCCTAGTATTGGAACTTTATACGAGAGGGTTAGTCATCTTTTCTCATTTCAATAATGCATATATGTACTTCTCAAAAATAAAAAAATTTCGATGTATTATCAATTATTAATTAACCCTCTGTCTATACAAAAATTATCGTTATTGACAAAAATCAACAAATCGGACGCCTGGTGGGGATTATAGGAATTACATTTTATAGCTCATTAAAATAAATAAATATACATAGTATTTTCAAAAACCGGAAGTATTTTAAATAAAAATTCAAAATTTAAATATTGAAAAAATTAATTTCCCACGACCGAATGTGGATTATGTAATGTGATTTGACTTTGATGTCAAAATCAAATACGTTTTGGTGTCAAAATCAAATTTATGTTTACGAATTCATTTTTTTATTGCAATTTGACGTCAAAATCAAATTAATTTTTTTGATTGCAATTTAAAAATCAAATTTTACTTTATTTTTTTCTTGCAATTTGACGTCAAATTCAAATTCAATCAAAAAATAAATTAAAATTTGATCTTTAAATTGCAATTAAAAAAATTAATTTGATTTTGACGTCAAATTGCAATAAAAAAAATGAATTCGTAAAAATAAATTTGATTTTGTCACCAAAACGAATTTGATTTTAAAATCAAAGTCAAATCAAATTACATAATCGACACCCTAGCTTAAAATTTTTGTAAGTTTTTTTTAATTTAAAAAAATCGAAGGATACAAACATTTTTAAAAATATAAAATTTTAATATTTAAATTGCAAAAAAATAGTAGGGTCATTTATGGTAAATGGGGACAGGGGGTAAATGGGGACAAGAGGTTTTGGAGCTTAATTTTAAGTTTTAAAATTAAGTTCAACGTCAATATTTTAACCTCAGATCACCTGCAAGAGGTTTTGAGTATTGCCAAGCTTTTATCTTGACAATTGGTAGCAAGATAAAAAAAGTTATCACTTAGTGCATAAAAACTTGAAAAT